TCTCTGGCTTTTCCTGCATTTTCTGGTTGCCTGGGGCTTATTCCCACTTCTGCTGGAAACCTGGCTCCTCCTGACATGAATTTAAGAAGAAATAGAAACTCCCTCAAAAGGCCAAATACTAATTAGTGTGTAGTATTAAATATTGCATAGTGGCAAATTGGAGTAGCATTTGAGCCAAATAGTAAATAGTGTACTTAGTATTGTCCAAGGACTTACACCATTTCCTTTTAGACACTTTTTTTTTCCTTGAGTGCTTTCAAAACAAAAACTATTTGGTTTTATGAGTTTTATTTATTTTTAAGCAAATGTGAAGTCCAAAAAACTAGTTTAGAAACAAGACAATGTTTTGAATTTCTGTTACTTAAATCAATGATAGCCCATGACAATATTTCGAGATAGTTGGATTAGTACACGCTTAAAACTGTTGTTAAAATTTATTTTGATTTTCTTTTAGGTCCATCCCACTCACCACAAAATTAATTTTGACAGAATAAATCATTTAGGACAGAAATATTTGCATTGAGACTGACAAAATGCTGCCAAAACACCTTCTAAATTGTAACAACTTCTCCTGTTTACTGTAAGAGTGCAGTCATTGTGTTTAAGAACTATAATTATTTGGTTTCTAAAAAATTCTTTTTTATTTCAAAAATATCCTTTGCATTGCATTCTTCCTCCTTTGGGAAAAAAGTCCAATTTGAGTGACTCAATCCACGGGATTGCTCTTTTATATTCTTACTTATAGTCCAGGGGAAGTTATTTCCATATTTAGTACATACTAGATTTCATAGCATGGTTTCCATATATGGGGTTACTGTCCAGGTATTTATAAAATAAAAACCTGAGGCTGGGTGCTTGTAGCTCAGCAGCTAGGGCACCAGCCACATACACTGGAGCTGGAGGGTTCAATTCCAGCCCAGGCCTGCCAAACAACAATGACAACTACAACCAAAAAATAGCCAGGCATTGTGGTGGGCACCTGTAGTCCCAGATACTGGGGAGACTGAGGCAAGAGAATCACTTAAGCCCAGGAGTTGGAGGTTGCTCTGAGCTGTGATGCTACAGCACTCTACTAAGCGGGACATAGTGAAACTGTCTCAAAAACAAAAACAAAAACAAAAACAACAAAAAACTGAATTCGTGAAAAAAATTATATTCTCTAAGCCATTAAGATCAGTATACTATAAAGTTACAAAGTCAAGTCTCGTTTGTATTTCTATTTATTTGCTCCCTTCAAATAGTAAGTAATTCCAGATAGTTCTAATAGCATATGGGAAGCTGTTTTCTTCAAGTAAAGTGAAAAGCCACAAAACAAATCCTTTTGGTTATTAGGAAGGTAATTGCACACACTGGATATCTGACCAATCTTCTGTTCCAATACATTTGTATATGAACTGCCCATTCTTGTAGAATCAAATGGCCTCACAAATTTTCAAACGTACTGCTGTGTTTTCGACTATGTACCTATAGAGCAGATCTAAAATGGAATATATTCCTATGAACTTATCGATGGACAAAAATGTAAATAGCATGTGTGAAAGTTCAAGTATCATGCCAGAGCTCTTCTTGTTTTAATCTTTGTGTTGAAAATCTCTCCGAAGTGTCCTCATGGCTGATGGCAACTGTTCAAGTCATCACGAACAAGTATACACAAAAAAGAAACAGGGAAATATTATTAACCTATTATTAACCAGCCAAAGAAGGTAGACCTTTAAATAAAGCAACAGAAAAGTATACAGCTTCTCAGTGAGTTTTCTTAATGTAACTTCTTTAAAGGCTCACAGACATGTCCATAAACCTAGCTTGTTTGTAGAAAAAAGAAAGCATGTCCCTGAAAATACACTCCATGGCTCTGAAGGCTTCCTTTCATGAGGTCATAAACATATTTCCCAATGTCTCTAAAATAACTCTGGTTTTCCTGATGCAATAGAAGGATTTTTGTTCCCTCAGGATTATTACAGCAACTTCAAGTGTTCAATTGAGCAATGTGACCTCGTTAACAATATAAAAAGAAGCTGGATGCTCATTTTTCCTGCTTATGAAGGTATGAATTTTTAGTAAATATTTATTTATAATGTAAATAAGCATTGCACATATATGAAAAGAGTTAATGAACATCTCTTTCTACACTTAATGCAAACTGTTGTTGAAATGAAAGAAATCATGCATGCCCACTTAGAAACTTCTTGCAAAACTCTATTTAATACTTGTCTATTGTTTTCGCATAATGCCGGGTTTGTTATTAACATGTGTTAAAGTTACTGAATTCAAGGTGCACAATAGAGACTTAATACTGTATGAAAATATTGAAAGCAAGGCTTCAAACATCTTTCTTCAAATTATCCCTAAATTTTACCCTTATAATATAGATGTGTGTGTTTACTTTCTGGAAGAAAGTACAAATAAAATCCATATGCCAGGATTATTACTTGATTCCATTTTTCAAGAGGCACTTCTTCATATTTCTCAGAGTATATTTTCCTTTTTAATATCAGTCAGAATAGGTGCAAATATCACTGACAATATAATAAGAGAAGTTATTTATTTTGAAGCCAACTTTGGAAGCAGCTGCCCCTGAATAACTGGGAGAAAGAAAAGACTTCAGAAATAGAAGTTATTGCAGGCGGAGTGAGAGAAGTTAATGGGCCATTAGCCTACTGCAAGTCAAATGTGGTTAATTCTTGGAAGTCCACAAAATATCAAGTGTAAAGACAACTAAACAAGCAAAGGACAGCTTTGGAAGGAGAAAGGGGCGTCTGTGTGTGTGTGTGTGTGTGTGTGTGTCTAAGTGTGTGTCAGTGACAGTGTGTTACTGCAATTACAATAAAGAGTATGTGGGAGTTTATTTGCTTGGTTGTGTAGCAATACACACAGATGTGTGACACAGACTATCATGAGAGGAAAAATCCCTAAACAATACTAACTAGCTGGTGCTATGGGAAAATGTATAAAGTTGAACTGAATATCCCTTGTCTAAGCAGCTTTAAAAACATTACTAGAAAATGAGTTTATTCACAGACTGCACTAGATATAGCAATTTCAAAAGGCATCATCGTTGCAATTTGTTCATTCATTTTTACATATTTTACACAATCTAGCCAACTCTCAATTGCTCATTTGAAGACGAGAAGCAATGCAATGCAAAATTTCCAAATGTGGGGCTGGAAGACAGTGTAAATGATACTTATAATTAGACAGGCATACATATAAAATATGCCATTCTAGTTATTTTTATATATGACACTAACTTTATGATATGAGGAAGAAGCTGACTATGCTGGAAGAATTCTGAAAACTGGCACTAAATGGTGCCTATCAAGAGAGACTCAGGAGAATGGAGGGCTGACTGCTCTCTCCTCACATCATTTCTGCTTTATTCTATTGGCTCACACTGCCAGACATGAGTTTATATACTAAAGCCCAGAGCTATGGGTAGGATTCTTATAAAGACATGCTGTGACTTTCTGGCTCCAATTCATTCCAGTCTCTGTAATAATTACTTGAAAGTCATTATTCCTGTGCACTTGACAGGTGACTGACATTCATCAGGTATGTTTCATTCATACTAATTAATGCATTTTTGCACACATTAGAGAGTCTATTAGTACACTGCAGATTGGCAAACTGATCTAGCTTTTAAGATTTTGGCTACAAGATTATAACTGGAATATTTGAAGTTTTTGGCTAAAAAATGTAAAGGTCACCATATGCCTTTATTTTTGTTGGTTCCCAAGATTTCCTTGGAGATACGTTTCTTGCAAAAGAATATTTTAATGATAAGCTCACAATTTCAAGATTTATCATGCTGAAATGTGATAAAAATCTTGCTTTCTCACATTCAAGTTTGAAATATGATTATTAATACTTATGGTAATTATAGAACTTTTATGAAATAAAAGTTTAAATAATGTATGAATTCCAAATCTAGATATAAACTATTACACGCTATCTTACATGCCGTCAGCTGACTTCTTTGAATCTCCTGTATACAATGTATTATTTTAATGTTTTATGAAAAGAAATTATATACATATTTGATCATTAGGATATTTAACTTGAATCTGAGAAAAAAATATTTCACTCTTTCTTACTGAATACTACCTATACTATATTGAACCTGTTGCTTCTTTGAAAAAAAATATAATTTAAATAAAATGGCACATATTCAAAACTGCATTGAAAATTCAATATTAATCCCCTTAAGTAGATATGGTGAAAGTCTGTCTCACTATTTCTCATTTTCACTAACTTCACTGGAAGTTTTCCAGATTAGCATCTCATGGAATCATCTATAACACCTCTAAGATCATTGGATATGTTTGATTTATTTTACAAGCCTGTCACCTCAAAGAATTATTACAGCTTAGTAAAAATATATATGGTGTGCGTGAATATATATATTTTTCAAACAAGTGCACAATAATTAGAAATCAGCCCCTTATCTGTTAAGTGGTAAAATTTTATGTCCAAAATTAGCTGTTAAAACACTATTCACATACGAGTTCTAATTCTCTTGGTCAAAGAATTTGGGGAAAAATGTTCTTGGCGCACATCAAACAGGGGTACACTGGGATCTTGAATAAAGGGCACATTGTGAAGATAACAGTTTCAAAAGAATCCATTCTCTGTCACAATTCTATATCTTAGTTGGGGAAACACATCTTTTTGTGAGATTCCAAGAACTTAAACAACGTGGAAGAGTTCAAGTAAGTATTCGGTTTACCAGCTCATCTGCCATTTCTTGTCTCCAAAGGCCAAGGCCAATTACAGTCACCAAGACACACTTTCTCTGAAATGAAAATCACTAGAGAGGAAATACATTAATCATGATAATTTCCTAGAATCATTTACTTCCCTGTGCCCATTAAAAGTACATTTGAATACTGACACAGTTTCAGAGAAAAACGATGAAACAATCACTATGAGAGCTGAAATATGGCTTCATAGGAAACAGGGCTACGTTGAATTAGCTTTGATTGTTTGTGTGTCTTTTCTGCTAGAGTTCATATCACCGGTATAGACTGTTGAGCCAATCCTTTCCAAATTAAATTACTACCAAAATTTACAAACTTGACATGAAGATTACATTATATTTACAAAGAACTTGGCACTTACAGAATAAATTATTGACTTTTTAAAATCCAGCCCAGGGCACCCATGGTTCAGGCAAATAGGAAAGCCTGATGCCTTATTATATATTATGCTACATTAACATGAATAAGTCGGTTTCCAGCTGATAATTCCTCCACAGTGCTGTCCCTGTTGCTGAAAACCAGAATCTTCCATTTCTAATCCATAAAGGAGTGTGGCGATGTTATTAGTCCAGAGAAAGCAAAGGCTGCAGGTTTTCTTCCTCATTTTTATCCATGCGTTTTAGAACTGTAGGATCCACTACTGACTGGGATCTGGAAAGGATAAAGCCAATGTCAGTGGGTTATTACCAAGTAATCGCCAGCAGATAGTCTCTCCTCTGTGTTTTCTCTGCCATCACTTCTCCCACTAATGTGGAGTAGCTTCCCCTAGCATCAAGAAATTTATGAACTGTGGACGTTGCACATTCAGAGAGAAAACCCCTTATGATAGTGTTTTGTTTCAAAGTAAGCAATCAATCCCCTCTGGCTTCTAAATAGAATAGTGAGCAGCAAAGGAGTCTAAGTAGAAAAAATAGGGTTCAGTTCTGCCTTTCTTAACTGAGCACCATTCTTTTCTTGAGATACCAAGAAATTTCTAGTGCAGGACCAACATTTTCCAATAAACAATTTCCAAATGGAAAAAAATATATTAGAATTTTTTTTTTTGAGACAGAGTCTCACTATGTTGCCCTAAATAGAGTGCTGTAGCATCACAGCTCACAGCAACCTCAAACTTTTGGGCTCAAGTGATCCTCTTGCCTCATCCTCCCAAGTAGCTGGGACTACAGGCACCTGCCACAACGCCCAGCTATTTCTTTGTTGTTGTTGTCATTGTTGTTTAGCTTGCCTGGGCCGGGTTTGAACCCGTCAGCCTCAGTGTATGTTGCCGAGCCGTAACCAGAGAGCTACAGGCACCAAGCCACTGAAATGATTATTATAAGAAACTAAGTAGAAAGGATAGGAGGCTTGATCTCTGTCTTGAAGGAATCCATGAACAAGTTAAACATGAACATGCATTTTCTTTAGCCAACATTTTTATTTTAATGGTGGCATCAATAAAAAAAGAATAACACATGTGATTTTGTTAAGTTTCTCACAAAAACATTTAAATAAAATCAACTCTACTCTTGAACCTTTCGTACAATTGTTAGAGACTTTTAAAAAGCAAAAACAACACTTCATAATTAGGAGAAAACCTAATCTGGAAGCCTGCTTCTCCATGCCTTTGATAGCAGGTGGGAATTATATATTCATTTATCATTAGGAAACAGCATGAGCGTGGAAAGGAGGAAAATCAATGAAACATACTCCCTTTGTGGCAGGAAGCTGCCATCTTAATAGCGATAGCATTAAGGAAGCAGCTGCCCTTTAAAAATTCTCCTCGGTAATGAATTCTTCCCCTGCTGCTGCATGCCAGCCAATTGGCTGTCCGTGGCGGTATGCCTCTTCACAGACCTCATTAACTTTGGAAAAGAAAGACTATAAGCTAAGACACAAGTGCACATGCTAATGAAAAAACAGCAATGGAACTAATTATCAAAGAAAAAAATAATTACAGGATTAACTAATAAATTGATTCCTTCATTTAAATAAACTGAAATTCGTTTCTAAAGAAGGAAGGAAAGGGAGAGCATTAAGAAAAGGAGAGATTCTGTTCCCTAAGTCATGTACACTATTTTATCTCCATGTTAAGTCGGCCTTAGATGCCTCTCTCAGCAAGGGGTGATAACTAATTTGCGTGTGTGTGTGTGTGTGTGTGTGTGTGTGCGCCTTTTCAAGAGAGAAGGAGAAGGAGGAGGAGGAGCAGAAGAACAGAGAGACAGAAGAAAGATCTTGCACCCATTTTAAATGCAGGAATATATATTTGTCCTTTTTTAAGTACACGAGTAAAATACTTTTTAAGAAAGTGGACAATTAGACAAAACACGTAGTAATTAGACCTTTAACATTGTTTCTGGGTAAAACCCAATTAAGAAAATGGGTTTCCCAACACAAATCCTTGTCAAAACAGAAAGAGATTCAGTTAATGTTATTTGCTAAAACATTAACTTAACAACTGGTACCCACTAGATTACTGGCTCCATGAGCAGGGATTTTATCAGTTTCTCTCCTTAATGTAAATATAATGTGCATCAAAATAAAATCTAACAAATAATGCCCATAGTAAGAGAATTTTGGTATTAAGCATTCAAAATGAAGGGTAATGAGGACAATGACGAAAGCAATTCTTTACAAAAAAAAGGAATTCTAAAATTCTCATAAACTTAAATCTACTATATAAATGTTGAGGTATGTCCTGATAATATTCCCTAATACAAGTTTGACGAGTAAGTTCACGAACTGGCCACCATGTGCTTATGTTGGCAGCACTGTACAAACAGCTCGGTAAATTTCACAACCTTGGTATATCAGTGTCTCCCAGTTGTGTTTGTGTCAATGTGTGGCAATGTCTTGCTGAGTGACGTTAATTATTGTGTGGTTTTATGTGCTATCGCAAGAATGTCAGAGCACTGAATCAGAGCACAATACAAACATTAAATTTCTAGTTAAAACTGACATAAATGGAAGTGAAATCAGGGACATGTTAGTCCAACTTTATGGAGATAATGCCATGAGAAAAACAGCAGTGTACAAATGGATCAAAGGGGAGAGAAAGTACCATGCTGAAGCAAGGTCAAAGTGGCCAGGAACGAGCAGAGCTGACAAAAATACTGCAAAAATTCATCGAATTGTGCATCAAAGTTGTCAGCTGACCATGAGAAGCATAGCAGACCATCTAAACATGGATAGAGAAATAGGAAAATCTTAACTTAAAATGTTGGCATGAGAAAGGTGTGTGCAAAAATGGTCCCAAAGGAGCTCACCAATGAACAAAAGCAAAGAGCTCATATAGCCCTGTCCCTGTGGAAGATTTTAGCCAGTAAACAAATAATTAGACTGGAACACTCTCCCTACTCACCAGATCTGGCCCCAGTGACTTTTCTCTTTACCAAAGATAAAAGAAATATTGAAAAGGAGACATTTTGATGACATTCCTGATATCAAGGGTGATACAACCACAGGTCTGATGGCACTTCCAGAAAAAGATTTTCAAAATTGCTTTAAAGTTGTGGATTAGGCACTGGCATCGGTTCACAGCTTCCCAAGAGGAGCACTTCAGCCATAAGATAGGTAGTACTTTTTCTAGGATGAGTTTGTGAACTTTATTGTCCAGCCTTGTACCAAAGCTCTTCCGATAGCAGGAGGTAATTTAAGTGTTTCTATCTGCCATAATATTCTGTTAAAGCCCACATCATACAGATGCATGTGCAAGCATGCACACATTCTTCTAAGCCCATATGTGTCATGAATTTTTTGAAAAAATATTTTTTAATGATATAATGACTTTAGCTAAATATTTTAAGTTACAGTGTATTAGTCAACTTGGGAGGAGTGCCTAGTTGACTTTTATCCTGTGCTACAGATATCAGAACAGTGAGAAGCTGGGCACTGGTTCCCTATGTGCAACAATTCTTCAACAACACAAGAAAGGCCAGGCAGAGACAGACTGTAAGTTTTTGATATTTAGTTGTCCAAGAACACTGCCATTTTAGTCCAGATGTTTTGTTTTTACTCTCTAATAAGAAAGAATAAGATTATTTGTGTAGGATCAAAACTGTTAATGAACTGGTCTGTTCCAGCTGCCGTAGAGAAAGGTTATCTGTTAATAACTCATAATACATCTCAGGGGTCGACACAGTTCCTACTGTCTTTGTGATTAAAAGTTTTTTTTTGGTTTGTTTTTCTGTTGTGAAAACCAGTAATTTCAATTTAGGTATCTGGTACTCATGTATTCATTTATTATGCATCTACAATACTGTGCTATTCTGTAACGTGTAAGAGTCTAGGTTTGGACAGAAGTAGATTCCAATTTCAGTTGCTAGTAATAATTGACTGACTCTCTGGTAAGAAAAGGGAAGGCTATTTAAACTTCCTGAGATTTTGTTCTCTCATTTATAAATGGAAAAAATAACACCAGCATCGTTCAGATAGTTATGAGCATCAGACGTGATAATGCACAAACCCTAGCACAAATTCTGGCATATAAAAAATGGTAATGGTTAAGGAAATAGCTCATGGAATACTACAGCCTGGGTAGACGTATTAGCATTGCCCCTTGTAGTTATGCAACATGTGGAAGCCACTTACCTTTCCTGTGTCTCAGTCTATCAATAAAGTGGGACAGGTACTACCCTATTCATTGGTTTGAGAAGCAACTGAGCCGATATATACAAAACACAAAAATAAGTGTTTTCCATGTGGTAACAATAAAGATTTAATAATATTGAATAAAATATATTCAGTAATCAGAAACTCTTATCACCTTACATAACAACATCAGTGTTACTGCGCATTACAGTTGTCATGTGCCAGCGCCATTGTAAGTACTGAAGATACACAGTAAAAAATACTCCTGAATTCAGAAATACCCACAATCTAATGAACTTTGTGTCTTTTCGCAATGACTACGCTATTACTTCATCCATTGACATCAGAGCACAAAGTTTCCTTCTTAGAGACAAGCTAAATTCATCCAAAGGAATAATTACCCACAGCTCCTTGGTGAAGCAATGATATTATTTCTCTTTCAGTCCAAGAAAAACATAAAATTGCAAAAAGGGCCAAAGGGAGGCAGGGTGGAGGTAACCACAGCAACCTCTCCCCTCCTGGGTGGAGAACTGCCAATCCCTCCCTGACAAAGGGAAAAAGGGAACCAAGTGAAATGAGCACTTTCTCAATATCAATTTTCCAATAAAACTACCAATGCTTTATATGATGCCAAACACACACAATGCATGAGGTCTAAAGTTCTAGTCAGCCCGTGTCAGAGGCAAGAAACGCAGCCACTGATGTGCTATGAGCAATGTGGAGGGAGAAGAATGGCCTAATTATTTGAAGAAGAGGATGAGGGTTCAAAAAGACTTTGAGCCAAATCTAATGGTAGCCATGAAAACACTATGATTGTGGGGGGGAAAGCTAAACACAGAAATAATTAAGAGGTTGGTAAATAAAGAGACTTTCTAGTTCTAGGGAGCCCTCTGCATGTCAGCAATGTGCTTTGCTACCTAAAAATCAGAACAGTGACAACAACAACCAACATCAGAAGCCAGTGAGGTCTACACAGCAGAGCCAGAATTCTGGAGCCCAAGTGCAAATAGTAGTATTAGGGTCAGATGTCATTTATAGTGATTTGTAACATGTGTACCCTGGCAATAGTATTCCATTAGCCATTTCCTTAACCATTACCATTTTCCATATGCCAGAATTTGTGCTGGGGTTTATGCATTATTGCATCTGATGCTCATTAATATACTGCAGTTAATGGGGGCCGCTGACAGACGGCAGAACACTCCTTCACTCGTTTAACTGGTGTTCAGGGAGCACCCTCTGTGTGTCAGGACCTTCTCTAGCACTGGAGATTCAGAGGAGAACAGGACAGACAAAATCCCTATGGTCTCTTTGAAGCTTACATGAAGAGATGGGGTGCAGATAGAATATTCAATAAAGTCAATTATTTCACTGATTGAAGAAAATAAAGGATTGACAGAGAGTGACCACAATGACTAAGCAATATAGCTAAACAGAATGTGAGTGATAGAGATGAAAGACTCTCCGGGGAGCTGACCTTTGATCGGGATGAGCCATTGAAGATAAAGGAAAAGAGCTCTCCAGGGCACAGGTGACACGGAGAAAAGCCCCCAGATACGAAGAGGCTGGAGAGGCCGGAAGGAACAAAGAGGAGGCTATTGTGATCTAACAGGTAGGGGAGGAGGGAGATGGTGGGGTCACCTAGGGAGCGAGGGAGGCAGGGTCAGATCAGGTAGCAATGAAGCCATGATAAGGAGTTGATTTTATTCACTGTAAAATCTGTGGTTCTTTAAAAATGTAAGGCAAAGATCTAAAATCATCTTCTTTATATTTTTAGAAGGTTTTTGAATTGCCATGTGGATGATAAATGGGGTGCAGGGGAGGAAGTAGGGCTGGAGACTACAAGAGTAGTTAAGGGATTTGGGGAGCAGGTGCAGTGAGCAGGATGTGGGTGTCCGTCGTGCAGAAAGGTTGTAGAGTTTATGAAGACAACTGTTGCTTACATGATTGGACCATGTGAGTGAACACCACCACAGGAGGAATAGCTGAAGGAAGAGACCCTTATTAGATGGACATGGAGGACAGCTGTCCCCAAATCCTTACGTAGCTTAGTTCCAGAGTGAGGGAGCTCTGTGCTGTACAATCAGGAAGAGGAGACAAGCTTTATTTCAACAATATGAAAGACCTCATGGTGTAGAAACTTGTTCTACCACACGTAGACTATTCAATATCAAGAATACAATTGAGGATACAACCCTGTTAACAGGGTTGCTGTGAGAATTAAATTAATATTTAAAAAAAGGCACAAAGCAAGGACCTAATTTGTGATAAGTGCATAGTAAATGATAGATGATACCAACTATTACTAGGATTATTATTTTATTGGAGGGAAGCTATTCTTGGGTAACTGCTCTTAACCTTTTTTTTTTTCTTTGTAGAGATAGGGCCTCACTTTAATTGTCCTTGGTAGAGTGCTGTGGCATCACAGCTCACAGCAACCTCCAGCTCTTGGGCTTAGGCAATTCTCTTGCCTCAGCCTGCCAAGCAGGTGGGACTACAGGTGCCCACCACAATGCCCAGCTATTTTTTTTTTTTTTTTGCCCAGGTTTGAACCTGCCACCCTGAGTATATGGGGCTGGCGCCCTACCCACTGAACCACTGGCAACACCTGCTAGTAACCATTTTTATTTTGGTACACTTTTTGAGAATTTGATGAAATGTATGCCTTCTCTTCAGAAAATGCTCAAACTATATACAGTGCATTCATGCACATTCACACAAGATTTTGCACACAAGGTTCATCACTTCACAAAATCCTTTGAGAGCCCATCCATGAATCTGTTAGGTTAGGAGGGAGGGGATCTCAAGAAGCTCTGTTCTGAGAGAAAGAAGTTAAGCCTAAAGTTTAAATATAAGCTCACCGACTAGCAAAAACCATTTCTCTACAATATTTTGCAGAAGGGATAGTTAGACCTTTAGACAAAGACTTGGCAGAGATATTGGACTGTGACCATGAAGTTTTGACCATGGTGTTTTTCAAATGAAGTGTGTGTGTGTGTTGATTGCTTTCTTCAAAAGGAGTCTTACGGATGTAAGAGCTTATAGATAGAAGAGCTGCTCTCATCACAGTAGAAATGGATGCTCTTCTTACCCCACTGCTCGGCGTGAGGCACTCCATCAAAACCTTTGGCTCCTGGGGGTACAGTCAGAAAACCCTGACTTCTAAGGGTCCTGCTAGATTCCTAATCTGGAAAAATGCTAAATTGAGTTTATATCCAATGACTTTATCTTTTTCTTAAGTGACAAATAATTGGGTCACAGATTTATGGAGCACAATGTGGTGCACAAATATGTACATTATCACTTCTGTGTGGAATCTAAAATAGTTAAACTCAGAACTACAGACTAGAATGCTGGCTACCACACAGTGGATCACAGGGTGGGAAGATGGGAGGGGCGGAGATATTGGTCAAAAGGTACAAAGTTTCAGTTAGAGCGGAGAGTCCTGGAGATCTATGGCACAGCAGAGTGGCCACAGTTAACAACGTATTGTATATCTGAAAACTGTTTGGTAGATTTTAAATGTCCTCACTATGAAAAAATAAGAATGACTTTATCTTTGATTCAAATTTCCTAGACATCCAATCACGGTGACATGAAAGGCTTTAAAATTTCATGGAAAAAAATATACAGAAAAATACCAAACCTTGGAGGCTGACTCAGGATGCCTCCCTGACCCTGGCTGCAGCCCACTTCCCCACCCTCCTCTAGCTTACCTCTTCATGGACTTGGGGGAGAGTTCCTTTTCTACTTCCTTCACAGGCACGCTGTAGGAGTCCACGTTGTATTCGCTGTCATCATCATACTCATGGTCTAACAGTGTTCTCGCCCATGTCCCCATGTCGTAAGGGGGCAGCATGCCTCCAAACTCAGAGGGCAGAATCTCAGGATGAATTAGTTGGTGTAGACTGTTCAAGTTGTTGCCATGCAAAAATATCTATACATGCACGAAGAGGGGAGGGAAGGAAACACACAGAGGAAACTTAATACCATCGACGTGTTGGGAAGAGAAAAGAGACGAGGGGGAGCAAACACAAGAGTTGTCCATATATGTTAAGATTTTTAAGACCTCAACCACTCAGTGAAACGGGGTGGGGGGCTGGTACTTTTATCCTAATATTAAATGTAATAATGATGAGGTTCGGAAATCTTCAGTAGTTTCTGTAAGGCCAGATAGGTATTGGGTTAAAGAGCCGGGACCACAAATTTGGTTTCCTGCTACGTAGCCAGGGGCATGAGCCGAGTAAGACCATGCATGCTGATGGGTACATCATCCTGGTGTCAGCTGTGCAAACTCCATGATGTGCATAGTAAACTCTGTGAAGAAAACAGGCCCTTCTCAGAAGGGCCTCATCAATCACCGAGATACGACACCCCAAAGCTGTCACCAGCATGACTTTCTCTTTATCACCAATAAAAATAAGAATACTACAACCTCTAAATTACCATTTTATGACACAGAATGGGCGATGTAAATAAAAGAAGTCAATTAGCATCATTACGATGAAAGGCTGAGTGAGGTTCCTGTCCCAAGGGACATTAAGTTCTGTCATGTTGCCAGCACCTCCTCGACTAAAGATTTCCATACTTCTTGTCCAAATAGAAAAGAAGGAATGGATTGAAAATGTAAAGCTGTATGTCTACATTAATCATGGGTAGGACCATCGACGCAGAGCTTTTTTCCAAAACTGGAGAAATGGTCAAGGCCCGTTCTCAAGTTTCGGTTCTTCATAAATTATGGACCACCTTTCCTCTTCGTTCATTTCAACCTCAAAGCTGCAGGTCAACCTTCTACACTACAGCATTGTCACCTCGTGTAAACTGGCATAATATTTACTTAAAGATCGTAGTTCAGAAGTAACTTAAAAATAACTGCACTCTCCAGGCTGAAGACGAGTAGGCTAACACATTCATATTTGCTTTCTATATCTTTAGAATCCACTAAAGTAAATATATAGGAAAACAAAGATTCTGTTGGAACATCAATTAAGATTAGAGGATGGCCATCACCAATTAAGAGTATTTTCAACAAATTATGGAAGAGTAAATGCAGATAACAGCACGTCACTGGCTCCAAAAGGCAGAGCAAATGGCTGCCTGAAATATGTAACACACAGAACAACAGGTGAATTTCAGCTTTCCACCTTCCCACTCCTGTCTGAGAACACAACAGCCAGTATTTATGTCCAGGAAAACACACACACGCCTGGGTTATTCTCATCAGCAATGGAAAAAAAAAAAAAAATCCCTGGGAAAGTTAAGTGCTGACATCTGAAACTTTTATTTTTTAAGGTATATAATCCTTCTTTATGTAAGAACGCTTCTCCTTCAAGTCGTGTCAGAGTTATGGCAATGAATCTTTGAGCAGCGAATGTAATCCGAGTGCACTGCCGCTTCCTCACTCTTCTCTAACACTCTGTTACCTCCTCCCTCGGCATCACTTCTAGCTTTGGCCCTGCTTCCACTTTCACTGAGAAAATGGGACAACCAGATGACATCAACCCACCCACGAACATCTGCGTCCGTGTGTTTGCCTTCGCTGCTGTCAGTACAATGCGAGGATAACCCCTGCCGAGGCCAGCCTCTCCACCCGCACACTGGAAGGCATCTTCTCTCCTCTGCTCGTCCGCATTTCTCGACAATTCTCTCCTGTCTCTCTCACATCATCAAATCTCCTCTCTCCACTGGATCTTTCCCATCAGAGTGCAAACCATGCTGATTTCACCAACCTCGTGCAGACCCAGAAAACCCTGCTTGACCCTGCTTCCACCTCCAGTTGGTATCCTGTTTCTCTCCTCTCCTCCACAGGAACACTCACTGCAGAAGCTGTCTGTGTGCACTGTCCAAACGCTCTTTCCTCATTGTTCCTAAATCGAATCTAAACAACCTCTGTCTCCCACCACTGCATGAAAACAGCTCTCGTCAGGATCCTACTTATTGCTAAACTCCTTGTCCAATTCTCAGTCCTACTTATCTAGAACTCTCAGTAGTACAGGCTGTAGATGATTCTTCTCAATGAAACACTTTTTTCCAGTATCTTTTGCTTTCTGCTTCCCTTCCTAGATATTTTTTCTGGTCTATTTTGCTGATAACCCCAACAGCTTAACATTGGAGAACTTCTGGTCTCGGTTCTATTCTGTACTCATTTGGGTGACTTTCATTTGTTTTATTGCATTCTGTCAGTAGCTTTAAAATACTGTCCATACTACATATCTCAAATCCAGGTCTCTACCTTAAACTCCATATTTATTTTTTTTGGGGGGGATATATTATTATAAAGGGCAATTGCAAACATATTTCACTTATAAATGAGGATGCAATATCCTAAAGAACATATTAACAAGTTGAATTAAAAATTATTGTTCAAATAACGTACTTTGGTCAAAATTAAACTCCCTATTTGTATTTCCCCACTTTACTTAACATCTCCCCTTAAATGTTCCATGGACATCTCAAATTCAACATGCCCCAAATTTTTGAGCTTCTTCTGAGCTCACAATCTTCTCTCTAAATCCACTTCTCCCTATTTCCAGCCTCAGTTAATGGTATGACTATTCTTCCAGTTTCCCAGACCAAACTTTCTGCTCATCCTTTCCTCCTCTCATCATCTAAGTTGACAGTAAATCCTTCTAGCACCATCTTTAAAATGCATCCTGAAAACAATCCCTCTGATAGACCCCTGCCCTAGAACCCCAACACGAGCTTCTCCCCTTTAAGCTGTGTTCCTGCCCGAGCCTCTGACTGCTCTCTGCTTCTTCACTTCTGCCTATGCTTCATTGTTGACGTAACAGTCAGAACGATAATGTCACAATAGGTCAGATCATCTCCTTCTATTCACAATTCCCCATTTACTTTTTGAGATAGAGTCTCACTTTGTCACTCTCAGTACAGTGCTATGGCATCACAGCTTACAGCAATCTCAAACTCCTGCGCTTAAGCAGTCCACCTGCCTGGGCCTCCCAGAGTGGTAAGACTCCAGGCATGAGCCACAGTGCCCAGCCTTGACTTCTTTTTTTCTCTTAGGAGAAACCCTATGGGGCCTCCCAAGGACGACTTCTATGAACGCGTCTCCCCCTCTTCACTCTTCATTCAAACACACTCTGCATGTGCTTGTCTCAGTACATGGATAAAGGCTTTTTCTTCCCCCTGGAGATTTCTGCCTTCCAAATGTCCCCACACTTTGTTGACCCCCACATTCTGCCAACCTTTGCTTACAGTCCCCTGCTCGGGAAGACTTCCCTGATGAGCTTCTTTACCGTCTGCCCACCCTGGAAAGCCCTAACATGCTAACTGCTCACCTCCCACCTTCTAGTACCTTACACAGTTAAGCTATGCACAGATTGCCTTGACCGTTCATAAAACACAATATCATTGTTTCCCCAAGGCCAAGATTTGTTTTTAAAAAAAAACAAACATATATTATATGATGATGCTGTCTTAGACCTCTTGGTTGGGAATTGCCCTCTGGGCTGGGTAATAAAGATGCATTGCAATTGTCCAACTGTTAAGCTTTTGGTTTTATATTTTTCTGCATTTTGACTAGTTCTGTGTGTGGCAGCATCATTTACTGACGGTTTACTGTTCATTTTTTATCCTTATATTTTATATCTTCTTCTGTTTCTTGCAAGAAATCTGGTGCTGTGGGCTCTTTTGCCTCTGACTCTTTTGCATAATTCTAAGAATTATCCTGCATAATACTTCCATTTTTTATCTTATTCTTCTACCCTGTGTCATTAAAGAGATTATGCTGGGTAATCTGCAATGGAAAGAAAGAGGATCAAATACTTTTGAGAATTAGCACGCTGTAGAAGAGAAAGTCCATGATACTGGTAAAGAGGAAGAAATTTGTGCCAATTAGTAGGGAAACCTGTTTTTCCAACAGCTCTCAGTAAGTAGTAAGACCACAACCATGGACTCACTGACAATGCACTAGAGTGGAGGTTCTTTGGAGTTTTAGCTGCAATAAATATGCTTATTTTTCACAGGCAACTTGGGAGCAGAAGACTTTAATTCAAGGAACTAATACTATTTTGAACAATGAGGATATGAGAAGTGGCCATGAGGGACGGGAAGATTGGCTTTGCATGAAACTTTCCAGACACTGCAGAGACTTTGTGGACAAGGGCCCATTATAATACTACCTAAGATGGATATCCCTACCAGCTCATAATATTAACGATTAAAAATCAGATTTAATTTAAGAAAATGAGGAACCAGATGTTTCTTTCACACTTAAGTTTGTGGAAAAAGAACCACAAGTGCTCCTCAGGTTTTCTTTTACCAGTTTCTTAGAACACAGGCTTAAACATCGGAGGTACAAGGTGTCTGAGTACCACCGTGCTGCTGAGTCACCTGGAGTAACAGTGAGTGTCTAATAGTTTTGCATTGTGTATTGATTATGTAAGGAGAAATTAAAAGCATTTTAACCTGTACCCATTTTTTCATATGAAAATTTCCAAGTCATATAATTTTAATTAAAACAGTAAAGTTCAGATACCTGTCTTAGACCTAGCGTAATGCTAGCAATGCACTCTCTTAGGCTTTATCAAAATAGTCCAAACCCATCACAAAACCTGCAGGCCTAGTGCACTCTTTGTTTTCTAGACTTGAACTTCTTCAGTCCTTTCCAGCAGAGTAGAATCAGGTGCAAATCACCGTGTATACACTACCCTTCAAGGGTTTTTGATTTCTCTCTGCCTGAAGGCCCAGATCCCTACAGTGGTACAGGAGGCCTTGTGGGATGTAGGAAGCCCTAGTTCCTCCTAACCCACCCCCAGCTCCCTGCCCCACAACTCACCATACTCCAAGCTTTTCTGCCTTCTTCTGCTTAACCAGGCCTAGGAGGGTTTCTACCTACACACATTTGTGTTGGCTGCTGCTTCCTCTACCTGAAACCTTCTTTCCCATAAATCCACATATCCAGCTCCACTATCTACTGGCTGTGATTCACAGCAAACTGGTCAACCTTCTGAGCTTATTTCCCCATCTATATAATGAGAAAAGTAACAATACGTACCCTAAAGCACTGTTGTAAATATTAAATGAGTTAACCTATGTAAAGTACCAGAGAACAGCGTGTGGCATTGAGTGAACACCATGGAAGCATTTGCTGGTGTAATTTGTACTAAAAGCCCCAGCAGGTTCTCTGGATCACCTGATCACCCCTTTATGGAACAAAGCTTGATAGCTTTTGTGAGGCACTTCTGTACACTTTCTGAATTCTAAAATATGAATTAATTTGATTCTTGATGATAGAATAATTCTGAATGCAAATTATAATTGTTTATAGAACGCTCCCTCCTGAACTATGAAACATTTCAACAAAGTCATTCACAGTCACCCTATGCTCATGAATGTTTGGTTTCTGCTCCTTCCCGCAGACAACGAGGCCTCTGCAACATGGAGAAACCTGAAGGGCCTTCTAGGTCACCGAGAAAGAGGCCTAGAATTATCTTCCATGGGGATTTAGAAGTAAGCATATTTTACTGTGGAATTAATCATTTGAAAATTGGGTATGGCATGAAGAGGTAAAATAGTTCTAAATGTAGAGATGGAATATTTGAGTTCCTATGTTAGCCCTAAAATTTTTCTGCTGTGTACATATGAGTATGCAGGTAACTTGCCCATTTTAAAACTCACCTTTCTTAGCTCTGAAATAGGAGATAATGCTTATAAATTTCCTTTTCAGAGCTACTGTGAGAATTAAATGAAATAACATAAATTAAGATGTGTTTTTTATTTTTATTTTATTTTTTATTTTTTCAGACACAGTCTTACTCTGTCACCCTGAGTAGAGTGCTGTCGCATCACAGCTCACAGAAACCCCAAACTGTTGGACTCAAGTGATCCTCCTGCCTCAGCCTCCTGAACAGCTAGGACTATAGGTGCCCATCACAACGCCCAGCTAGTTTTTCTATTTTTAGTAAAGATGAGTCTCCTTCTTGCTCAGGCTGGTCTTCAACTCCTAAGCTCAAGCTCTCTACTCACTCGCACTCCCAGAGAGCTAGAATTACAGGCCCCCACTTCAGGCTGAGATGTTTTGTTTTTAAATGACAACTGCAGCCCTCTGCTGCATGGTGGCTCTCGCCACATATTCGAAAATAACATCATCACCATATAAAATTATAACCTTTGTTTAGACTTTGACTTGACTTACACATTTCCACAGCATTATACTAACATGACCTAGAATATTTTTTTTGAGGCTTTAACATATATATAATGAATATGCTAAAATGTACTCCCCTTTTCTGAGAAGGTTAGAAGAGCGAATGTTTAAATGTTTCTTTCAGATACGTTGTTCAGAATTAATCACGAGGTCACTAAAAATTTTAGAATGTCTTTCATGTTGAATGTTTATACTCAATAGAGAAGTAGGATTCACTACAGCCAAGATGATATACACACTGTACAGCATAATTCACTGAACGAGGGAGAAGAACGGATTAAAAAAAAAAAAAACAAAGAAATACCCTTTTCCGAGTCTTCTCCTTAAGGAAAGGCCGGATCACGGTGTACAGGGCATGGATATACCACGGCTGATTAACAAAGTGAATTCCTCCGAATCGTGCTGGAAAACTATCCTAGAATAATATGGAAAAAACCAAATGTCAAAACATGCTTTAATAGACTAAGAAGGTTTGGGGAATGTTACACGGTATAACAATTTGTCCTTCCATACACTTAACTGAGATTATCTGCACAACTAAGGAGGAGGAAGAAGACAGAATCTTACCATGTTAAGCACTGCAAATTTCATACAGTAACTGAAGCATGTGTGTAATAAAGCAAATCCTTCCCAAGGTCAAGGTTACTGATAAGTATTGAGGAGAGTTGTATTTTAAGCCTGTAAACTGGTAATAGTCATCATAAGCCAAGGAACAAAAATAAGTTACCAGACATTTGTCAAATAAGAAATTTATGTTGAATAAATGTTTATAAAATTACCACATTTATATTAAAATATGCTTAAGTTAAACCATTTTATTAAATTCCAATATAGTCATCTGTAATGTCAGCAACGTCAGGTATTAAAACTCCCTTTATTTTCTCTTTACCTTATTATTTTGTCAACTTTTTAAATAAACAGTCTCCCTTCCTTATTTTAACTCTCAAAAGGGCAACATGCCTCGGTAAAATAAGAACATGGAATGGCATTGTAAGAAATCTTGGAGTATATTTTGTTAGTTAATGAAAACCAAATGGTAAGGGTAACCCCTGAGCTTACCCCGCAGAAGACAACTGGAACTATCGTGCTATCAGTCTCCTCTTCAGCAAGAGCTCACCTTGTGTCATCTCTCCATCTGGAGTGATGCCGAGAGGGAGTTTTTTCCTATCTGTGATTAAATAAGCACTTGCCTAGCCTATTTCAAAACAGGAAGGAATCCTTCAGCCAAATGAACGGCAACATTTGACAGTGAACTTGAGTATGCTAAGTAAACAGACCTGATTCCTGCTACTCGTTCAAAATTACACATTGAACTGACTACAAAGGTCTGGGGGAAAAAGCGCCACACTAGAAATGTTTCTCCCGCGGCATGGTAATACTTGGCAGTCCTCTGGACTCTGCGCAGAGCATGAGCAAGAGTAAGAGAAAAATAAAGGAGCTAAAATAATTGTAGTGTGTTTTTTTATTATTTAAATGTTCTCTTGAACAAGAGGTCTGGGAAAAGGGGAAAAAAAAAAAACATGCATGGCATAACCCCATTAAAATATTTGATTTTCTTGTGGGACACTTGTGAGCATCAGTAAATTAGTATTTTTGCATATTGATTTTCAGAGTTGCCGAACATTATTTTGCAAAGGAATTTTTATCTCTGAGAACAGAATACTATACTACAACAGTCCTTGAAGAAATAGGATAGCTGAAGGTAAAACTTGATCTTTCACTCCAGTGTCTTATTTCTTTTATAAATATGGAGTTTTCATTCAAGCAGTTCTTAAAAATAATAAAAATGAATCAGACAGAAATGCAGACATAGTAGGTTTTTATGTTATGAAATTTTATACATACAAAGAAGATAAACAATTTGCATATAAGCAAAGAGAAAACTGAGACAAGCACCCAGGCACTGTATTATTATTATCATTACAGTTATTATTTTTCCACCTGGATATGAAAGTGACAGAGAGCTTCCTCCAGGGTTTGCTGTCCAGCAGGAGTTCTCTGAGCACAACCCTTCCCTAAGGATGCAGGGCCTGGGGGAGCACAGAGTCTCAATCACTTCCACTCCCCTACTTGCCCTCAATGTGCACAAGCCTCGTCTCTGCTCCTGAACACCCCACACCCAGGCAGACAATATTCCTTAAAGGTCTAGGTTCCCACAGCTAACATGTGCCACCAGAGCTGCCAGCCTTCACCCACTCTCTGGATGCTTTCCTTTAGATTCCTGTGTGTGCTTGACTCAGAGGTCTTGTCTCATATTCCTGAGAGCTCAGCAATGCACCTGGAAACATTTTGTGGTGATTGAGCCAACATCTTCATACATCATGGCCAGAAGATCTGTAAGAAATTTTAACCTGCTGTACTGCCTGAAGCAGAACTATTTAATATGTTCTAAAACATATTCCTGGACAAGCGTTTGATCTTTAGAACAAAACTGAATGAACTCCAGCCATCACAGTTATTAAGCTGGAAGTCTTAATTCAAGTGATTCTTAAACCTTGAGAATGGTAGCAGGCTGTGTGTCTTCCCTCCTGAAAGAATGAACATCCACACACATACAAATACACTTGCACATGATGCCGTGGCTTTCTTGGACACATCTTTAAATATAGAAGGTGCCAAAAACATGTATACACATTTTAAGAAAGGAGAAAACTGTATTAAAATTGTAAAACTCAGTATGTATCAATAACAAAAGATGAATACAAGTTATATTTGAGCATCTTTTGTAACTGCAGAAGTCAAATGTGACTTGAGTATCACAATTTCGATACAGTTTTTCTTCTCTTTTCTTAAAGGTGCATAATTTTTGTGGCATGCTCTGTACACACTGACTTGATCAGTAACAAATTGTAGTTGAAGTAGATTGAAGAAGCAACTTTATAATCAATAGACCTAGCCTAAAATTCTGACTTAATGCCATCTCTGAAGCATTACCCTCCAAAATAAGGACAAAATCCTTCATTTATTTATTTTCCTCACTGGGCTCTCACTCCTTGACAGTTATGTCCCAAGTCTGGCAATATGTACACCCGGCCTCAGTTTCATGCTCACTCTCCACATGATGCCCACGTAATCCCAGTAAGATCAGGAACCCACTGTCTCTACGGCACAGCAACTCCCCGTGTCTCCTTCACATCTGTGGTCCCCACGTTGTCTTATAGCTATTGGCTCCCTTCTCTCCCATATGCTGGCCTCAGCCTTCACTCCTTTTTGTATGATCCACTCTTACTAATCCTTTAAGACTTGCATCTGGGCACATCATCCCAGGAAGCTCCTCTAAGCCCTTCTCTCCCTTCTCACCCACTCCTATCCACAGAAGCCCATTCTGTGCCTTTGCGAGCACGGTGCCAGAGCCTATCACTGCCCTTGCCACATGATCCTGAAATTGCCTCTTTATTGGTCTGCCTCTACTACTGAACTGTGAGCTCACTGAGTACAGAGGTTGTGTATTCTATATGGTCTACTGGCACCTGGCCTGGAATCCATTTCCACTCACGTCACGCCCCACTGGATGGGGCAGAGGATGCAAGGAAGGTTAAGCACATGGTAGTCCTGCCAGTGTGATAGACCTGGGCCAGACACACAGGCCCAGAGGGAGATTGTTTTCAGCAGTGTCTAGGCCTCACCATCCCCTTTTTAGGAGGTGAGAGCCCACTGAGACAGCAACAGCACAGGTGGACACAATGGTTCCGTGGCCTCTGAATCACAGCCACAGGGTATGACTTTGAATCCAAGAGTTCAGTAGTAGTCCCTCCCAAATTACACTGCTCCACATCTTCCAATGAGGCTTTAAACACTAACTCCCTGTGCTAAACCCATTTGTTCTTAAATTATCTAGAGAGATTTCTGTTTTGTGTACTGTACTCTAACCAGACTGTACCTGACTCATCTTTCTGTTCCCAGTATTTCAAAAACATAGGCGTGTTTGACCCAGGGCAGAGGTAGATGAATATTCAATGAACAGACTCAGATATTTTCAATTTCAGTAAACTCTTTATCTTCCCTGATCCACAATTTCCTAATCTATAACATGGGAACAACATTTAAGGGGATTGCTACTACCTAACAATATCTATTAATTATTAAGCACACCCCCTAGACACTGGACTATCATATTAATCGTGAGCTGCCCACTATACAAGTGTGGAACTGACCATGGAGGCAATTTTACAGTGTGGTTCTGCCAGAAGTTGTTTGGGCCTAAACCACGCTACAAAATAATGATCCAATTGCCAACACCCCATATGCTGCTCACTGACACTGTTGGCCACACTGCTCTCCACTGGAGACAATAAAATGGAACGTTCCCGGCAATCAGTGAGTGTGCAGCCAAGACAGGATGGAGAGAAGTAATAGAATTCCAAAACAGAATAGAATAGAATTTGTCTGCCTCTACTACTAACAGAATTCCTACCTTCCAAAAGCTTTGTCATTCACTTGCTCTCACTCATATCATATATATGTGTATATCAGTGAGTTATTCAGGCATTTCTAGCAAAAATATGTTTGCTTCAAATATCCAGCGATTCTATAAGAAACTATGGAGAAATGAGCCACTAAGTACAATGAATACTATTTATGTGACAGCTACACTACAAGCCCTGACTTCACCACGACACAATTCACCCATATAACAAAAAAACACGTGTACTCACAGATCTCTTGAAATAAAAATATTTAAAATAAATTTTGATGAAATATAAAAGTTGTGTTTTAAGACAAATACTATGACGTGTAATGTAGTCAGATGTACAAACAAAATAAATCAATATAATTTCTGGTGCAATCAGGATATTTTACAGCCCACAAATGACAGCAAAACGAGAAAGAAATTCACAAGTTTGGTCTTGTTTCATGAGTAACGCTTTCTAGGGCTTCTGAATCAATCAATTGTGTTAACAAGTATCCTCGGTATAAATACAGGCAGAAATGTACATATAACTCACCTGTTCCAAGGTTAGGCTTTTTGTTAATTTTTTTCTTTTCCTTTCCTGCCTTTCCTGTACTTTGGGAAGCATTTAGTTTCAACTACTATACGCACCACAGCCAAGTAAATATGGTGATAAACTGTAGCACCCAGCACCTAGAAATTACACCTGTAATCCCTTGTCTCTACCCATAAAGTTACACTGGGACTCACAGTATAAGTCTTGCTTTCTTCCTATGTGATGCTTTTAGGATAATTATAAAACATTCTAATCATAGAAATTTTGAATACAAAGGAGTATAATTAAAAAGTCATAAGCTTAGCGACCAGAGATAAAGCAATGCTCTAAGCATCTTGGTGCATTCTTCCACCCTTTTTCAGTACCTGTTATACAGATACAAGATTACAACTCATAAGTGTGCAACATCCACGCTTTCCGAAAGTGTAACATAGAAAGTCAAAGTGATCCCTATAGCTCCTGGTATTAC